CCTGCAGCTGCAGTCAGGAGCCGAGGGGAAGAGGTGTCGTGGTGTTTGGGAGGCAGCTGCGGGCCGGGGAACGAAAGAGAGACTGCTGTTTAGAGAGACCGAGGGAGATGTGATGGGGTCAATTAACGCGCTTGAATTTTTTATGAAGTAGCTGACCTTCAGGGTTTTATAGATTAATGTAATTGCTTAAAGAGCATCGCTGTACTCTGTTCGGCGTGCGAGAAGCTTTTCTTTCCTTGGAAGATGAGTTACTGTCACTTCGGAAAGGAAGCACAGGATAAGCGGAAGGAGCAGCCTCTTGCTTACATTAAAAAATAGAATTATATTCTTCCTATATTGCCTTACAAGGTTTTTGTAGATAGGTGCTGTGTCAATGCTATTTTTAGTACAAGCAGGTGGTCCAAATGAGCAGTGCTGGAAGTCAGTGGATGGCCAGAGAACAAGGTCATGCCTGTGCTGCAAAACTGTTCGCTCATAATGAGCCACTGAAGAGTACCATGTTGTAATCAAATACTTTTTAAAACTGCCTGGTCTTTGGCCATGTTGAGGCACCCTTATAATACTGTGGTAAATATTTGTATATAGTGATGGATGTCTGTGTGTTTGAGAAACTTAAAATAAATAGTTTATAATTATTTCTTTGCACCAGTATATGATGGTCCAGAGAAATTTATAGAATAAGCTACCAATCAACCAGATATTGCTTATATGTTATCTGTCTCATCTTAACAAACAGTAATTGACTATTAAAATGTCTTAAGAACACAGACTAAGGCATTGCTTTATTGCTGTCTGTCTTTCTGTTTTGCTGTTATTTTTAGAACTTCTCACAGAGTTTGATGCCTCAGTACAGTGTAAGGTTCTTTTGAAAAAGGTGTCTTTCACATGATGAAAGAGGGCAACAGAAAGGTCATAACATGCTGGTTTCGATGGTCATTTAACTGTACCTCTGTGTATTGCTGCAGTGGAGTCAGTATATTTCCATATAGTCTCTAATTTGCCTTCTTCCTTGTATTGCAATGTTTTGTTCTGTTTTGAGAACAGTCTCTGATTTCATCATGTCCATCTCTGTGTTTTAGCAGCTATATTAATGTGCCCTTCTTGGAGTGTCCCTTTCATTTTTTTTTAATCTGGAATGTATTCTTTGTTGCCATTGGGAACCTGTATCTTTAAGCCATAGTAGCAGAGGCTGTGGAGAGCATCGAGTTTTTTTCTGTAGTGTCCCCATAGATTCAGGCCAGAACGCGACTTGTCCTGTTTTGACCCTTTTCCCTTCCTAGACAATGCAACCGCGATGCCATGGTGTTCTGGATTACCCCGTTCCCTACCCCATCAAAGTGGTAATAGAAGCCATTTTATGCTGTTAAGATCTCAGCTCAAAATGGTCAAAACCCAGGGAAAGTTTTTCTGGTGTCAAGAATGCTGGGCCAGTTGTGGCCAACTTGTTAACTACACATGAATGCTTGCAAAGTGGAACAGCTGGATTTCTTGAAACATTGAGGGAGAAGCATTTCCAGGGCTTCTAAGGAAAGAATATCCCTTCCAAAGGAATAAGGGAATGCTTATGTATGGCTGAAAAAGGTTAAATCTGGGATTGTGTGATCTACAGAAAGAGCAGTTTAGGGTTATTGTCCATTTCTGTGTAGAAAGAAATGAGCTCCTCTTTCCCCTGCTCCGCTGTGTCTCCTGTCTACTTCTGTGTATCTTGTGAGGATCTAGATTTTGACTCATTTTCCTGCAAGCAATCTTTTGCAGGAGGAGGGGGAAAAAGAAACAAGTGAGCTGTATTGTGCTCAGGCAGTAATTTGTGTACTCCTGCCAGCTTGAGTGATGTGGCTCAACTACCTCTGCTTTGTACAGAGAACACTGCTGAAAGGACGCCAATATTGTGTAGTCTAGTGATAAATCCTTTTATTTCTGACTGTGGCAGATATTCTAGTAAGAGAACTGGTAGTTGTGACCTAGCGTTTACTTCAATCCCCTCTGTATGCAGAGGAGCGCTGCTGTTACAGGCTGGGCTGCGTACTGGGGAACATGATAGAGGAGAAGGACATTGCAGAGCTTTCTGCAACAGTGGTGTTCTTCCTCAGTGGGCTGTGGTGTTTGGTACTTGGCTTGACTATTATGAAGAGCTCTCTAGCAGGGAGTGGAGATCTGCCTTAGCATGTTGTCTTTTCTCAAATTGTCAACGATCTATTTTGCTGCACAGCTTTGAGGTTTCTTTGAGTTCCTGGAAATTGGTGGTGGCCAAGACTGGGGGAGTGATTTGTCTCACCATAGAAGCAGCCTGAATATGTCTATATTAGTGTGTTTCTCAGTCACTCAGGGTTATGTATCTGTGTCACATCGTTGATATCATTGGAGCTCATAGCTCATTTCTATGTTGCTCATGTCGTTCATTTCTTCCTAATCCTTGCTGTCCTGGACAGCTGGGACTCCAAAGGGCATAGAAGCTGAGGACATCCATCATCTTGGTGGTCAGAGAATAGCAGGAGGTTTTGGTTCTCATTCTGCCATGCTAACTTGACTAGCATATATGGGTTGACTGCAAAAGAGTAAAGTGTGGAAAAAAAGTTGTGTGGTGTATGTGGGGGTTGTTTGTTGTTGGTTGGAGTTTTGGGGGTTTTTAAATTTGTTTTGTTTTTTTAGGAGGAAGAAAAGTCAGTTTGAAATTGGCCATAGGTGAAACAAGCTTCAGATATGCTCAGAAGCAGCGCACTGTGGTGGTGCTGCTGGAGATTCTGATAGTTGGCAGAAGAAAAGTTGTGCTTGTGCTAGTTTTGTGTTGGCAGACTTATGGCAAGTGGGTACAAATGTTTCTGTGACTGTCATGCTTTTCCTTGGCACATATGCCTTCTTGTAAAGGTTGTTCTTCAGGATTGGATTGTTTGTTTCTGTGCAGATCTTTAATACCCGTCTGCTAAGGAAACAGTATCGAGAGCTGGTTGATGTGGATATATAGCTCCCATTAAACTTTCCATACTCAATTGCTTGATGCACTTGTAGAAGAATCTCATAATTTAGATGCAGTGTAGGTGGAAATGATTTCATATGACATTCTCCACCAAACTAAGTGAAATTTGATTTATTTGTGAAATAAGCTGAAACAAAATTAATAGACTGGAATTAACACATTATGTGTTCAAACAAGTTCTCTGGTTTTGGTGTTGGAAATGTCTGATGGTTTTGTGTTTTCATTTATAGGTTGAAGACTTTGGGCGACAAATCAAGAGAAGCAAAAAAAAGCAGGCAGAGGTACTTCTGAAGACCTTAATATATAGCATTGATCTAGAATGTTTTTGTTAATGAAAAATTTGAAAGTGGCTCATATAAATGAGCCAGTTACTAAAACATTTGCCTATAATTTTACAGAATATTATTTTGATAACAGAAAAGCTTAACTCTAATATTGAGGAAATACTTTGTTTAGTAGAACCTTAATTGATAGGCCTAAATAATCTCAGATGGCCATCAGTCAATTTATAAATCACTACTTAAATTATGTAGATATTCAGTGTTATTGGAGTTCTTTATGAAAGATTCAGGTTGCAGCATGCTGAAATGTGGTTGTTTACAATCTCTGTGAATCTCAGGTACTAAAATTGTAATTCAGTTTTGTTTAGTGCAAGAACAGAAATATGAGACTTTTTATTGTGGAAAATATATGTATAATGGAGTACTTCAGCTATGTGTTTTCATCTCTGTTGCAAGAAGATTTAAGAATTGTGGTGGGGTTTTTTTC